TATAATAACCACTTAATCCTAAAAATGATTTAATGTTTTTTACGGTTGTTGGTATTGGAAATTCCACTACTGCTTTTAATTTACGTTCGTCGGGTTTTATTCCGTCTTTCGTAATAACGTGTCCTAGATATACACATTCTCTTTTTAAGAAGTTGCATTTATCTGGTTGTAATTTTAAGTTGCTTATTCGTAAACGCTCGAAAACTTCTATTAATTTTTCGTTATGATCATATAAATTTTTTCCATATACTATTATATCGTCTAAATATACTAAGCATTTTATTCCTATTAAACCTGCCAGAGCTGAATTCATAACTCTTTGGAAGGTTCCGGGACTCGTTTTCATTCCCTGTATCATTCGTTTGAAATGCCAGTGACCTTGGTTAGTCGAAAAGGCTGTTAACTCTCGTGAGTCTTCTTCCATCAAAATTTGGTAAAAACCACTCGATAAATCTAATAGAGAGAATAATTGACTATTTCCTAGTTGATCTAGTATTTCTGTAATATTTGGTAAAGGGTGAAATTCATTTATAGTAGCTTCGTTAAGTGCCCTAAAGTCTACTACTACTCTAAACTTTTGTTTTCCTGAATTGTCCATTTTCTTTTGTACTAATAATAGTGGGGAATTCCATGGACTTCTCGATTTCTCGATAATTCCATTTTCTTCCATTTTTTGAATTTGTGAATTTATTTCCTCCTGTTGTGCGTGTGGTAATCTATAAGGTCTACGATAGATAGGTGGCTGATCCTTTTTTAACTTAATAGAATGTGTACCGACATTGGTAAATGTTAAAACATCCCCTTCCAAATGAAATATGTTATTATATCGTTCGCATATTTCGTGAATAGATTGTTTTTCAATTTCGTCCATATGGTCAGTTATTATTACTTGTTTCAAACGTTCTATTCGTTCTTTATGATCATTTGTCGATTCTACATTATATATTTCGTATTCAGTATCAAAGAGTATTTTATTTAAATCAAATTCAGATATATTTTTCGTTTCTTCCGAGATATTCAACATGCTAACTATTGCCCTACCATTATTAACGATTGATACTGTACTACTGCAATATACGTCTTTTACTAGTTCTTGCTTATGTATAAATATTTCTTTGCTTTCTATGAGTGGGTCAGCTATCTGTATTCCTACAATAGTTTCAGTCCGCGGATTTAATTTAATAAAACTGGTTTTGTCGGTCTCCTTGAAATTTGTTAGCGCATGCGAGGTCGTTTGAATAATTAATTTGTTGTTTGCTACATCGACTATTGCGTTATTTTTCGACAAGAACTCGTTTCCTAATATTCCGTCCTTGGGTATTGGAAATCGTGCACTTACGATATGAAATTCTGTTTTAATGTTTTCGCTATTTAATTTAATTAATATTGATATTTTCCCTATGGTTTTTGTAAGACATTCATTTATACCGCGTAGATTTATTTTTTGCGTTTCGTCTACTTCTAGTTCTTCGCGTAAGCAATTTATTTTGAGAATATTTACCTGACTACCTGTATCTATCATTAAATGTAATTGATTAGTTTTTGCGGCATTAGAATCGAATGTTATATGATTATTTTCTAGTTTTGCGAATATGTGAAATATTCGTTCGTCGGTTGTTCCGCGATAATCTGGTTTATCGTGCGAGTACCGCGTACCTCGTTCGACACGTTGGCGTTTCCCGAATTATTTCTACTTTCGTCGTTTCTCTTTTTGTAACATGAATCTACGTTATGACCGATTTTATTGCAATATGAACACGTAACTGGTTGTGCATTATAATTTGTTGGCGGTTGCGTAAAATTATTTCTATTAGGTGGACGGTTGTTATTTCCGTTGCTCGCGTAGTTAGGTCTCGAATTATTTCTACATTGTGATGCAAAATGATTTCCATTGCAGTTATAACATTTTATTGGTGGTCTATTAATTGGTTGAGAGAAATTGTTTGCTCGTGGATTATTATTTTGCGCAAAATTATTCGGCCTTACAAAGTTATTTGGTCTTACGTTCCTGTTGTTCCTATTTTCATAATTTGGTCTACGTTGATTATTGTTTTGCGAATAACTACTCGAATAATGATTCCTATTTTCCTGTTCTAATCTTAATTCTACCTGTTCTGACATAGCGATTTGTTTCGCGATTTCAAGAGTTTTAGCATTACGAGATTTTACTATCGTTCTAATCGGTTCTACTAATCCTTTAATAAATATTGCTAGAGTTTGGTCCCTTAATGTTTCATGTATAATTTTTGCTTCTGCAGGTTCTTTGCCTAATGTACTTACGGTACATAACTGATAATATAGTTTTTCTACTCTATGACAATAATCGTTTACGTCCTCATTGTGATTCATTCTAATCGAATTTAATTGAAGTTGTAACGTCGATGCATTGGTTGTTACTTCGAATGCGTCTGTTAAATATGCTTTTATGAATTGCCATTTTGTTACGTTTTTATATTTAATCATTTCTAACGCTCTACCCGTTAATCGCGTAGTGATATATTTTACTAATATTGGTGCGCTAGTTGCGTCGACTAAACCTACTGCCATATCACATGCATTTATAAATTGGTAAATATCGTCTATCCCTGTGCATACTGGAATTAATTTAAAAGCGTCTTCTAATTTTATGGTTACTGCCATTTTTTTATTGCGTGATTTAGATATAAAATCTAACGACTGATGTTCAAAACTATCTGTGACTTTGCTACGTGTGACTACTCCTAATTGTGGACTTGGGGTTTTACTTGTGCTACCTAATAATTGGGTATCTACTATAGTATTTAACTGGGCTTTCTGCTGGGCTTCAAACTGGGCTTGGGCTTCTCTCTGGGCTAATAACTGGGCTTCTAACTGGGCTTCTTCTACTACACTAGTGTCATACAATGAATTAGCTACGTTCAAGGGAGATGTATCTTCTTTGTCCATAAATTAACTTAACCACCTATTTAATACGTTAATAATCATAATAATACTCAATAAATTCAATAATGCCCTATAAATACAATAATAACTTCAATAATATGCCCTCTAATAAATTCAATAAACTTCAATAATACTTCAATAATAAAAATGCCCTCAATAAATCAATAAACTTCAATAATAATCAATAATAAATTCAATAAAAATATGCCCTCAATAATAAAACTTCAAATAATCAATATGCCCTCAATAAAATTCAATAATAATCAATAAAATATGCCCTCAATAAATTTAAAACGGTTTACACCATTACACTTATAATCAACTACCTAGATTTATCTTAATATGTCTTAATTATGTTGCATACGTCTATGTAACAAATTTAAATAACTATTCACTCACAATAATGCTGCGTTCATGGCTGATGATGACATGTTGCCGTTGATGATGCTGCTAATGGATTTGTTGGTACTGCAATGTGACTTATTTGTTTTTTTTTTGTTGGTTCCTCCTGGAGTTGTCTTCGCTGAAGAGTGATCAATTCCTCGTTGTTGACAGTAGCCTTTGATGGTTGCCTCCTTTTGGAATCCTAACCGATCTGCGCCAGTGTTACATGCGGCCCTTCAGGGATCCAAAAGCTGGTGTACTTGATAAATAATAATAGTCAATTAGAATGGTAATCTAATGTATTATATTAAACCAGACAAAACAAGCAGAATAATAGTGTTGATTGTAGTGAATTTGTAGCTCGTTCCGAAGTTGATAATCTCCGTGTAAGTCGTGTGTGATGGCTGGCGGCTAGCGAGTCGTGTGGTGTTCTCGTCTCTGGATACATCTAACTCAGGCTGTCTCGCTGTCCCCTATATATATGGTGGCGGCGTCCTTTGAAAGTGAGCGGCGCGTGTACAGTCGTCCTTGATATGGACCTCACGATTATGAAAGTGGTATTCGTAGTCGAAAACACTTTTGGGTGTGGTCGCATTCCTGGTTGTTATTATGAGCAAATATATGGTATTGCGTAATCCCATTACACAATTACGGATTTTCGTACGTCGACAACGCCGACGAAGAAGTCAAAGACCTAAAATGCTCCGCTGAGCAGTTTTCTGTATCACGGACCGCGACGATGTCTGAACCGATTACTATTACTACCAATACGGCGAATACAGTGATGTCGACGACTGTGGCGGCTGAGATAACCACGACGGCGACGACGGCGCCTGCGCAAGTGGAAACTGTTTCAGTTTGTGTTTACGACATAAAAGAGATTAACGAGAACGGCGACGACGACGACGACGCGACGTGTTACGAAAACGATATCCGTGCCGAATCAACAGAATCCGCTCCGTCGGCTCGGGCGGTCTCCGGCAAGACAAAAACTCGCGGAAAAAAAACCAAACCGACCAATAACGCGGACGGTTATATAGAATCAAAAAATAACCGTCGTGCAGATAGCAAAAAAATGTTTAAATTAAATCTCAAACCTAAAAATTGCCTAGACGACCTGGTCACGGTCTCGACGACGCAGGACGCGGAATGCGACAAAACAAAGAAGCGAGCGAAATCAGCCGTTCACAAAGCGTGCTTGGTGCTGGTGGACTGCATTAAATTCGATCCGAAAAAATATAACATATACGAAATCGAGAGTTCCGAAATGGTGCTGCTACACCTTATGACCGGCTACAGTGTTGAAGAGTTAACTTGGTCTGACGTCGTGCGGAAAATAAATGAATTGAAATTCGAAAAAAATACGTCTGAAATAATATCCAAGTATTTCTCAAAGTACGCAATGTACAAATTGATGGTGGCTCTCAGGAAATTAAAACGGACAAAGTACTTGGACCGATTGGCTCGTAAACGCGGACACGATGGAGATGCGGTTTGGAGTACTCCGTCGTCGGTCAAAAACGCCGTTCTCGACGATACTAAAACAACGGGCGCTTGCAGCAAACAGGATCTGGGATATTATACAAAATCGTTTAAACCAATGTTTGTATGCAAAGAAATCGATTGTAACGTTCGACTGTTGAAACACTTTGACGTTGACAGTTTGTAAATTGTAAATAAAAATATTGTTATCTTTATATTTTTTTTGTATTTACTATAATTATTAGCAGCACCATTTCGGAACTCTCGATTTCGTATATGTTATATTTTTTCGGATCGAATTTAATGCAGTCCACCAGCACCAAGCACGCTTTGTGAACGGCTGATTTCGCTCGCTTCTTTGTTTTGTCGCATTCCGCGTCCTGCGTCGTCGAGACCGTGACCAGGTCGTCTAGGCAATTTTTAGGTTTGAGATTTAATTTAAACATTTTTTTGCTATCTGCACGACGGTTATTTTTTGATTCTATATAACCGTCCGCGTTATCGGTCGGTTTGGTTTTTTTTCCGCGAGTTTTTGTCTTGCCGGAGACCGCCCGAGCCGACGGAGCGGATTCTGTTGATTCGGCACGGATATCGTTTTCGTAACACGTCGCGTCGTCGTCGTCGTCGCCGTTCTCGTTAATCTCTTTTATGTCGTAAACACAAACTGAAACAGTTTCCACTTGCGCAGGCGCCGTCGTCGCCGTCGTGGTTATCTCAGCCGCCACAGTCGTCGACATCACTGTATTCGCCGTATTGGTAGTAATAGTAATCGGTTCAGACATCGTCGCGGTCCGTGATACAGAAAACTGCTCAGCGGAGCATTTTAATCAATGTAATATCGATTATTGATGTAGTAGAGAGCTACATCAATAATCGATATTACATTATTTTGCTATCTGTTATCAGACTGTCTTCTGACTATGATAACATTATCACAACATCTTCCTTTTCAAGATATATCTCATAGTTAATATTATGTAAACAACATTTAATCACATAAATACATAATCAACAAAATATACAATTTTAACTGAACTTAATACCTAATTATTTTATTATACTTAATTTAGTAACAACTTAAAATACTAACTTATTGTGCTATGATATTTTATTACTGATTCTACTTACAAATTATTATAACGCTTTGGTGGCACTATCTGCCTACCCGCTCTAGTAGTATTATATTCCTTTTTATTTACTGTAGTGTTCTCACTTTTTTGTTTTACCTCTAAATTAGGTTCCTTTTCTTTCTTTTGTTCACTTTTGTTTTCTTTAGATTCATTTTTTTGTTTTAATTCAGTATTTTCTTCCTTTTCACCTTCCTCAATATCATCATACTTGGTGGTTTTTTCTACAATACTTTGTTCTACTGGTTTTATGAAGTGAGTGTTTCTACGCAATATTTTTCCCTTCCCATCTTTAACTAGATAGGAACGAGGCCATTTGGTTTTACTCATTACTTCAGCCGTATTCCATTCTTTTCTAAACTTATCATAAATAACTACTTTTTCCCCTTTATTAAATACTTTTTCCTCTGATCCAGCATTTTTGTCATACCATTGTTTTTGTTTAATTTTATTTAATTGATTTTCTACACTACAATTCACCACTCTTGGTTTAAATATATTTTGATTCAAGCAATTACTAGGTGTTCTTAATTCTCTGGACATCATTAGCTGGGCTGGAGAATATTTAAGACCAGCGACTGGTGTGTTTCGATAATTAAGTAAAAATAATTTTAAATCTTTATTCTCATAAGTGGCTTTCTTAATCATATCCTTTGCGATTCCCACTGCTTTTTCAGCCAATCCATTGCTTTTTGGATAATTTGGACTGGATAATATTATTGTAAACTGCCATTTTTTTGAAAAATCCTTAAATTGTTGTGACCCACATGGGTATTATTATCAGCCACTATTTCCCTTGGGACCCCGAGTCGACTAAAAACTATTTTTAACACTTCTATTACTGACTAACTTGTTTTATTTTTTAATTTTAGAACCTCCAAAAATCTTGAATAGTAATCCATTGCCACTAGGTAATTACAACCATTTATTTCCGCTATGTCGATTCCTATCTTTTGAAATGGGTAGTCTGGTATACTATGTGATTTCAATGGTTCTTTAATTTTATTTTTACTGAACTTTAAACACGTCTCACACTAGCTCACACAGTTGGTTATATCTGATACCATCCCGGGCCAAAAAAATATTTGTTTGCTTTTCTTTATTGTTTTAGTTGTTCCCAAATGTGTCTCATGCAGTTTGTTAACTATGTATTTGCGCATTATTTGTGGAACAACTAAACAACAACCATAATATATCAAGTCCTTTTCACAGACTAACTCACTTCTTATCTTATGAAAATGTCTAATTTCACCCCAATCTTCTATTTTTGCTGGCCATCCCTTTTTCAAATATTGTAATATCTTGCTTAATACTATATCTTCCGATGTTGCTTTTTTAAATTCATTCTCTTTGTTATTATTAAACTCAATCCTTATATCCTCTATTGTGTGAACTATATCATTTAATGTTTTATCCGTTTTCTCAGTATGAGTAGTATAATTTCTGCTTAACAAATCTGCAACATACATATATTTGCCTGGGCAATATTGAACATCTAGATTATACCCCAATAAATATACTCTCATCCTTCTTAACCTGTTGTGTGGTATCCTATGTATATCTTTTTTCATAATCGAAATTAAAGGTTGATGATCTGTTTGAACTTTAATAATTTTCTGTCCATAGATAAGCCGGTGAAATTTTTCGCAGGAAAATTTTATAGCCAACATTTCTTTCTCTATTTGTGCGTAATCTTGTTCTGTGCTGCTCAGACATCTGGACGCATAATAAACAGGCCTACCTTTTTGGAACAAGCAGCATCCTATTGCTTTCTGTGACGCATCAGACTGTATTTCAAAACTATCCCTATAGTCATAATTTGCTAATGTAGGTACTTGTGCCAAAATATCTTTTAAACTGTTAAATGCCGCCTCACATTCCTTGCTCCATACCCATATACTGTCCTTTCTTAACAACTCTCTCATTGGTCCCACTATTTCTGACATATTTGGAATAAATGCTCTTAAGTAGTTTATCATGCCCAAAATTGATTGCAACTCTTTGATGTTTGTAGGACTTTTTAATTCTGTAATCACTCTTACTCTTTCTTTGTCGGGTTCTACCCCCTTCTGACTAAAGTTGAGACCCAAATATTTAATCTGATTTTTTTGGAACTGAAATTTTGTTTTATTAAATTTAATATTTAGTTGCCTTGCTGTTCTCATTACCTTTTCAAGTGCCTCATCATGTTCTTCTTTTGTTGCCCCACTAATTAAAATGTCATCTATGTACACACATACATTATTAATATTACCAAAGTATTTGTTTGTTAACTGTTGGAATAATTCAGGAGCACATGCAATGCCAAATGGTAGTCTGTTGAATTGGTATGTCCCAAAAGGTGTACTAAATGCACAGTATTGCTTAGACTCGGCCTTTAATTCACATTGATAGAACCCATCCTTTAGATCTCCTATTGTGAAAAATGATTTATTCATTAACTTATTTCTTACTTCCTCTAACGTAGGAATTTCTACCCTTTCTCTTATAATACATTTATTCAAATCCTTTGGATCTAAGCACATCCTAAGAGACTTATCTGGTTTTTCAATCAACACTAGATTATTTTGCCACTCACTTGGCTCCTCACTTTTCTCAATTATCTTTTTCTGACACAAGTTTACTAACATTTCTTTCAACTTTTCTAATAATTTAATTGGAACTCTTCTAGGGTTATTTGCAATAGGCACACTACCTTCTTTTAATTTAATTTGCACTTTGTCTGGGAAAGTTCCTATTCCACTAAATACATCCTTATATTTTTTTATAATTTTTTCCTTTAATTCTATTTCTTCTATTTCTTCAATTTCACTAATTGTATACTTTAATCCTTTACTATCTTTATAACCTAATATTGGCATTCCGTTATATTCAACAATCTCAAATGTAGTAGCTAATTTTTTCTCTTTATTTTCAATAATTACATTTATTTTACCCTTAGATTTAATCTGGGTGCCACCAAAAGCTTTAATTACTACATTACTGTTTAACAATTTTACACCTAATAACTCGAAACATGTTTGTGGCATAACATTTAATTGAGCACCCGTATCTATTTTAACTTCAAAGTCTTTGTTATTTATCTTTATCCTTTCCACCCATGTGTTGCTATTTTTATTCTGTATTTCATCCAGATATAAGTATTCACATATTTGGTCCTCACACTCCACCATATCAACCTCTTTATTATTTCTACATTTAGCCGCAAAATGATTTTGTTTTTTACAATTCATACATACTTTCCCATATGCTGGACATTCTTTTATACCGTGATGCCTACCACATTTATTACAATTAAATACCGTTTGTTTCTGCGATTGCTGCTCCTGTTGTTCTTTTCCTCTGCTCCATGTTCCCTTTTTGTTGAATCCCTCCTGTCGCTCCATGTAGTCAATGTCCTGTGGTTGATCGTCTGCCAACATTTTGCAATTGGTTTCCGTCTGTTCGACAGCTTGACATACTTTGATTGTTTTTTCCAACGGTAAATCACTCCTTAACAATTTTGCCTGTAGCTCTTTGCTTGCCACTCCCAATACTACCTGTGTTCGTAGTAAGTTATCTTCTATTTCCCCGAAATTGCAAGTTTTTACCAAATTTCTAAGTACTGATAAATACTTGTCAAAATTCTCCTCTGGCAATTGTTTTCTTGTGAAAAACTTGAAGTGCTCCATAACTTCATTGCGCTTGGGGGTGCAGTATTCTTCTAATACTTGTAGAATAGAATCCACTGTTTCTTTGGTATTGTCTGTTTTGAATGACCTATACAGCTTTAACCCCTCAATGCCCAGCAAATTTAATAATCTGGCAACTTGAGTTTTCATTGGCTTACTTGTGGTTTCCGTCGCTTCAAAAAACACTGTTATTTCATCTTTAAAAATTTTGAAATTTTCCGCTAAGCTTCCGGACAACTTCAAATTTTCCGGTTTGTTGAACTCCATGACTTATCCGTTTCAATCACTGTTTCCGAAGTTAGGTTTTTGTAACCGACTGCGCCATGTTTGAGTAGGGTAAATAATGAAGTTAAAACTAGTTATAGTTATAGTCTGTTCTTTATTATATCTTTTTATTTTTACATGCTAACGTAGACTCTCTACTACATCAATAATCGATATTACATTATTTTGCTATCTGTTATCAGACTGTCTTCTGACTATGATAACATTATCACAACAATAGGTACATTTTTTACACATTCAATTTTGTCTTCATCAGGTTTTACCCCTTCTGCGGACAATCTGTGACCTAAATAGACTACTTATTTCCTTAAAAAGTGACATTTTTGAGGTTGTAAACGTAAATTGTTTTCTCTCAGTTTTTTGAAAATTATTTGTAATTTTTTAATCATTGAATTTAACGAATTTGCACTGACAACAATATCGTCCAAATATGCATACATATTAAGATCCTCACAACCTGACAATAATGCATACATCAGTTCTGAAAAAACTGCTAGTGCTGTTTTTAAACCGAAAGGCATTTTCAGCCATTCCCAATGACCTGTTGAGGTCGAGAATGCTGTCTTATGAGTGTCCCCTGGATGTATAGAAATTTGGTGATAGCCATTTGCAAAATCTAAAGTCAAAGAATATTTCGAATGTCCTAGTTTGTCTAAAATATCTGTTATTAAAGGAAGTGGCCAAGAGTTCAATTCCGTAATCGCATTCAATTTCCTAAAATCTACACATAGACAACACTTTTTTTCACCGTCCTCGCCAATTTTTTTTGGTACCAAAATTAACGGATGGTTCCACGGCGTGTTACTTTTTTTAATTACTTCTTGTTTAACTAATTCCGCGACCTGTCTATTTATCTCTGTTTTTTGTTGTTCCGGAAATCTGTATTGTCGAGTATTAGGTGGTTGATTATCAGGTGTTATAAAGCTATGTGTTACAAGATCAGTTGCTATAACCTTATCGCCCTCTACGAAAAATATGTCCGAATACTCGTAACATAAATCTGATAATGCTTTTAATTCTTCATCATTAAGATGATCAGTTTTTAATTTTTCTGCTATTATTTTAATTCTATCAGTAAATTTCGACGGTTCCGATTTAATCATGTTATTCGATTCAAAGTACAATATAGAGTTATTTTTTTCTTCGAAATCTTATCCCGATTCTACCTCATTATTTTCTATAAAAAAACTCCCAATTTATATCGTTTGTTTTAAACTGTGTTAATGTTACGTAATTTTCTGAAATATTCATTATATTTGCTTTAATTGTATTATTTTCGCATAAAGACACCGAATTTCCTAACCATACAGTATTATTTAGATTATTTTGTTTATTACTACGGAATCTCCGTTATTTATTTCTTCGCTTGTGACCGTTATTGTTAGTATATTATTTTACCTAGGTGGTATGCTTATTAAATTTTATTTATTTTGTGTTCTATCGATTATCATTTCGCCGTTTTTTAGATTAAGAGTTACGTCGTTTTTACTAAAAAATGGTATACCGAGAATTCCTGACATTGAACCCGGAAACTTATCATGTACTACATGAAATACTGTATCATAATAATTATTACTATTAATCGTTAAATTAATCTTAATAATACCCAAGGTTTTAATAGCATTCTCGTTAATACCCATTAACGCTGTTGTTTTTGTTTCTAAAGGTACGCTATTTTTTACTGCCGATAACTTAATTATATTTAAATCCGCGCCTGTGTCAATTAAAAACATATTTTCTTTTTCTGTTAATGCTTCCGAATCAATTTTAATTTGATTATTTTTTAACGCAATTATTTCTTTATTTATTTCGTTTTTAACCATCATAATGGTATTATTTTTTATATCACCTATCGTTTTTATTACCGCTGTTGTCGATGAGCCTACACCATTTTTAGCTTTTTGTTCGTTATTATATTTTAATTTACGGCAATCTTTTACAATATGACCTGGCTTTTTACAATAATTACATGATAAAGAAGTATACGAACTACTGCTACCATTATATTCTTTTTTTATTATAGATTCATTTTTATTTCCGACCTTAGTATTAGTTTTAGGTTTTTTACAATCCCTACTTAAATGACCGTAACCTTCGCAGTTATAACACTTAGGTTTAGAAAATGAAGTCGTATTTTTACTGTCAAATTTCGGTTTTAAATTGTCTAATGCCTGTTCCTCCTCTAAAGCTGCTTTAATCATTTCTTCTAAAGTTTGTAATTTCATGGCTCTTAACACTGTCCTAATTTGAAAATATAACCCGTCTACAAAAATATTTTGAGCTTGCCTAGTTAATACGTCTGTAATAGTCTTACTTTCTGTGTTACTTTTGTCTTTTGTCATTTCGCTTACTAACCTATATAAAGCCAATTCTACTCTTCTTGCATAATCCTGCACTTTTTCAAATTTATTTTGCGTAATAGAGCTTAATTGTTTCGACAAATATGTTTCTGAATAGTTGTTTCCAAAATTCGACCTTAAAATTGTAATAAGTTCTTTATAATTCGTAATTGTTTTATGCTGAGTTATGCATAAAGCTTTTCCGGACAAATTACATAGTAACGCTTCTAACACGTCAATAGTAATCGTTCCCTCTATATGCTTAAATACAAACTCGCATTTTTTTCAAACAAATTTAAATCCTGGTTTGGTAAACCTGCGAATTCTGGTAACATCCTAATTGCATTATCGAAACTTAATTTACTCATTTTGTAAAGTTCTATTTGTCCCGTTAAAATTGATAAATGTGACAAGTAATTATCTTTTTGTTCCCCCTCTGTTATTCTACGAGCTAAATTGAAAAACCACTCTAATTCTGTATCTAATATTGACATAAATAAAGTATTATATTACCATAAAAATTGCATGCTATTCTTTGTTTTTGAATTGATGTTGATTGTATTAGAATATATACATTTAAATTATTTTTGTTGCTTTTACATCTAGTAATGTGGCTTCACTAGTAATTAGATGTATGTTTCTATGAAATACATGCTATATTGTTTAGTTTGTTAAAGTTTTTTTATTTAGCTTTGAATAATATAATAAGTAATTTAGATTTCTATATTATATATTTTATACAAATGTACTTAGGTAAAAATTATAGATAATGAATTATTGGCATTCATTTGATTATTGCTGTGAACAAATTCAATATTATGAAGAACAGATTAAAACATTAACAAAGATGATTGACGAAAACTAAAGAGAGATATGAATATAAAGATCTTAAAAAAAAAATAAAAACCTTAAATTCACTATTTATTTAAGTAGAACAAATTCTAATCCAAATTTGTCTTATATAAAAGAGTTAAATACAAAATTAGTTTTATTAAGAGAAAATAAAATGGATATATGTCGAAAATATTGTGATTTATATATCACGAATTTTCGTAGGCGAGAAGTTTGTTTCGGTAGAAGGTTAGATTTTCTTACGATAGCAAAATCTAAACGTGAAAGGTTTCGAACAGGTTAAATTTTTTAAATTTATTATGAATAATTAGTAAATATATTATTAGTTTATAATTATTATTATATTATATTTTTGTCATTATTTTATTACTAGTAGATAGTTTACAAATTCTATAACATTTTTCTAGAATTAAAAAAAAAAAAAAAAAAAATGGAGTCACAAAATTCATTAATCTGGAAAGAAATTAACTCAATATTAAAACAACTGAAGGAAAATAACCGTGGTATGGATAACGACGAAGCCACTTTCAAAAACAAAAGGAGAGATATCAACGTCAAAATCTAGAACGCATCTTTGAAAGCTACCCGGAAAAAGTTAAAAGAAGAAAAACAGTTATTAATCAACGATTATAAAAATGTATTATAATATATAACATACGTATGTGAAAAAAATATACAGAAAGGATTGAATGTATTATATGATAAATTAAACGATATATAGTCGCTGATGATAAAATCGATATAAATAAATTATTTTGTTATTATTTATTATTTTATCTTATAAAAATATATATCGAATGGTCTTGTAGTAAATTATAACCTATATCATTCTTGTGTATATAATATCTGTCGAAGGATAATAAATGTTTTTAATGCTCAATACTGCTCAAGTTTTATAATCGTTCAAATAAAACTAAGTTAATAAAAATTTTAGGAAAAGTGGTTTAGATTAAAAAAAAAAAACGTATCAATTTTCTAACATAATGAGCGCATAAACAATGTATCAGTATTAATAGCTAGTTTTGAAATTCTATATAATTTTCAGAATCATGAACTCAGAAATAAACATTATTAAAAGCAGAATTCTAGCAGTAGAACAACAGGTGCATGCCAATAGGCGCTATTGTATAGAGAAACATAAAGCATTTTGAAAAGTATTTATAAATATTAATAACAGTATAAAGAAACATTTAAATTTAAAAATTGACTTAGTAAATGAACATAATAGATTCCAAAACTATTCAAGTGAATGTAAAGCAGATCTTCAGTAACGGTTAACAGAACTAAGCAATCGGTTAAGAAAATTAGAATCCGAGTAATTTCTTGATAATTTAAACAGCTTGAATAGACAGTTAGAAAATATAGAATAAAATATTTATATTGTAGCATAAGCGTATAGGTACGCGATAAGGTCTTATAACTCTAATTTTTTTAAATATATATTAGCATAATAATTATAGTATAAATAATATATATTTTTTAAAAATTAACTTGTTATTTACAATTTATAAAATAATATAACCATTTTAGTCAGCAATAAATTATTATAGTCAATGCTAGCTGATTTAATCTAAATATTTTTTTTTAAATTAGAAGGATGACTATTCCAAATGATGTAGATCCGAATGTTCAGAAACCAATCATTTCATATGAAACGGTCCGATGTATGGTGTTGTAACGTGTCCACTTCAGCACTCGAATTTGAATTAGAGGTATAATAATAAACACACACAAATTTACGTATACTCAAAGTGTATTTATTAAAAGTAACCAACGTCTTGAATAGTTATA